AGATGGCACTGATTTATTTAGTGAAGAAGATTTGTTTTCTATTCAGGAAGAAACTACGGAAGAACCTACGGAAGAACTAATAGAAGATACGGAAGATTTCCAAGAAGAGAATTTAGCTGGAGAAAATTCTATAAATTTAGCAATCGAAAATCTCATAAATTTATCATCCAAATTAGAGCTTAGTGAGTCATCAAGTGTTATTGAAGAAATTATATATGGAGATAAAGATTTTGATGTAAACGAATTGCTTTAATCTATAGATTTTTGATTAAATAAATACAATTTATATCTGATTCTAGGATTGATCTTTTTTTTAAAAAAATATATATTATCTGTGAAAATTCGTAAGTTGTATGATTCTAGTTAGCTAATAAATCGATTTTATTATCGAAGCTTTCCATTGGTAAGTATACACGATTTTACTTTTTTTATTTATTTTATTTTATTTTATTGATTTTTTATTATTTACATTAATTATAATCAGAACTCAAGCCTAATAAAAACCTATATTTATACTACCTTGGAAACCAAAAATAGGTTTGCTACCACAACTTTTGGAATCATACAATACGTGAGGAAATACGGTTTAATTATAAAGGTAAGGGTTTTAATAAATTTTTGGTGGGCACAATCCTATAAAATACTGTACAGCACGGACCATAGTACCCCACATCAAAATACCCCCTCAAAAAAATTACATGGTGGAATGCAAAATACCCGGGTATAATATAGGGAACATCTATACTATATCAATTGATTTTTATCATTGATAAAAAATTTTTATATGAAAAAATTTGCCACGTATAATACCCGGGTACTAACTTGGATTTCTCCCATGGAATATATCGTATCCAGGGTACTATGGTCTGCGCTATACGGTAGATATAAACTCGATGAATTGTACCACAGAATGTAATTGATAAATCATAAGCATTACTTATGTTAGATGTACGCTGAGAAATCTGATACATCTCCTTATCTTGGCAGTATTTTTTTTAGAAGGAAGCAAATAAGATACTGTAAATTAAGTTTTATGCATATTAGTAAAAGTACTGTCAAAGCCATTTCTTTCCAATGTATGTTGCCGTGGATGAAAATTACGCTCAAGATATCTGTGAACAAATACTAAAACTGGCAAAAAAGGGTCTGACACCCTCACAAATTAGCTTATATCTTCGGAATTTGTATGCTATTAAACCAGTTAAAAACATTACAGTAAATAAAGTTCTTCGAATCTTAAAGTATTACAGTAAGCAATTACTTATTTTTTTTATTTTTATTTATTGTCGCTAAAGCTGGAAACGGGCTAAAGCTGGAAATTTTGGTCTGCATTTTTTTGGCTTTTTTTTTTTTACAGTTAGGTTAGAATTTAGAGTTATGAAAGGTATAAGTAGATTTTAGCAGGGTTCATATTTTTAAATCGAGGTCCCTAATTTCCAGCATCAAACGCGACATTTATTATTTTTATTGATAGTCACACTCCCATATAATCACACCACACCATCGAGATTCATAAAAAGTGTTCTTATATAGAAGATGTGCTTAGAACGTGCTTATATAGAGAATTGTTTTATTATTTTTATATATTCAATAATAGTTGGTTCAAAAAGTAAATGTACTTATATGGGAGTGCAACTGTACTTATTTATTTATTTTTGTTTTTTTTTTT